CTTCCTCCTCCCTCCCTCCCATCTTCCTTCCTTCCTTCCTCCCCTTCCTCCTTCCTATCTTCCTTCCTTCCTCCCATCTTCCTTCCTTCTTTTCTTCCTCCCTCCCTCTCACCTTCCTCCCTTCCTTCCATCCTTCTACCTCCCTCCCATTTTCTTCCTTCCTTCCTCCCCTTCCTCCTTCCTATCTTCCTTCCTTCCTCCATCTTCCTTCCCTTCCTTCCTCCCTCTCATCTTCTTTCTTTCTTTCTTTCTTTCTTTCTTTCTTTCTTTCTTTCTTTCTTTCTTTCTTTCTTTTCTTTCTTTCTTTTCGCTTCTTCTTCTTCTTCTTCTTCTTCTTCTTCTTCTTCTTCTTCTTCTTCTTCTTCTTCTTCTTCTTCTTCTTCTTCTTCTCCTTCTCCTTCTCCTTCTCCCTTCTCCCTTCTCCCTTCTCCCTCTCCCTCTCCTCTCCTCCTCCTCCTCCTCCTCCTCCTCCTCCTCCTCCTCCTCCTCCTCCTCCTCCTCCTCCTCCTCCTCCTCATCCTCTTACTTAGGTTTTGTTGTCATAATCATCATAGTTCTTATTATTCCATTCTTGATCTGATGCCTGATACGAACTGAAAATTGCAAAAAGTGAGCATCTCCTATCATAGAAACACCCTCAAAAATGTATCCAGTGTTGGAGAACAGTGATGGTAACATCCAGATCTTTATTTTTCATTTTCTTTTGCTTTCTGTTTTGCATCAAAGAGAAGGGACACCTTTCACAAAAGTAGGGTTCCTTTCCCCCAGGGCATTCTGGGAGAAAGATCAATGTCTATTTAAGGGAAAGTTGAGCGGTCTTGATGTTGACATATCAGAAAATGAGAAGATCCGGGAGATATTTCTGCTCAGAAAGCTTTGTAGCACCTCAATGTTGGTTGGGTGTAGACTTGTCAATGAGGGAAGCCGAATGCATACTTAGGACATGTTCCCTACAGAGAAGACAGGACCATTCATGGTTCCTCTGTTGATTTCGTCCCAGATCTTGAAGGAAAAGCCTTTGTGTTCCCGTGGCTTCAAAACATGGTCTTCGTGAAGTTGATGATGGACCTCCAGAAGCCTCTGACCAGTTTCACGGTGTGCGAGAGGTTCCAGACAGTGTTGGTGCGTCCGTTTGTCCTCTTCTCTTACGCCACCAAGGACGACGACAACGAATTCTTGCTCCACACCAGCAAGCAGAACATCTTGAGTGTCTTCATGAAACAAGGGATCATCAACTTTGACATCTCCAAAACACCCGCCTCGTCTAGCTGCAAGGAGCATCTCTGTTTCACCTGGGAGTCCAAGACTGGATTGGCAAGTTTGTGGTGGAACGGACAACCCTTACCTCGAAAAATCATCATGAAAAATCTCGTTGTCCAAGGCAACGCCTCCATTGTCCTGGGCCAGGAACAAGACTCCTTTGGTGGCCAGTTTGATGCCAGCCAGTGCTTTGTGGGAGAGATCGAAGATGTCTACTTCTGGAACCGGGTCTTGCAACCGGATGAAATTTGCCGAGTTTGGCACAACCGAGTGGTGCCCCATCCGCTCATCGATTGGCGAGAGCTGTATTACGAAACCCATGGAGACGTGATCGTGGCACCTTCCAACATCTGTGCCTGCCGAAGTGAGAAGGCTTGGATTCCCAAACAGGCGTGAAAAGTTAGTCGATGCCCAAAAATTTGGTCCCCACCTTGACTCTTGATTCAGTCAAGAAGAAGGACAGCAATCGCCAACTTTTCTAGTTATGGAAGACACCAACTTTCTCCCACAGAAAAACCTTGCCCCGTACATAAAAGCTGCTGGTTTGCTTAATTTGTCTAGAGAACATTTTGGTTGTGTTTTGGAAGTGCAGATGTGTGTGAGTTTCTTTGCGTGTGTGTGTGAGAGAGAGAGACAGATAGAGAGAGAGAGAGAGAGAAGAAGGAGGAGGAGGAGGGGAGGAAGGAAGGAAGGGAGATGGGAGGCAGGGAGGGAGGAGGGAGGAAGGAAGGGAGGAAGATGAGAGGGAGGGAGGGAGGAAGGAAGATGGGATGGAGTAATGGAAGGAAGGAAGGAAGATGGGAGGGAGGGAGGAAGAAAAGAAGGAAGGAAGATGGGAGGAAGGAAGGAAGATAGGAAGGAGAAAGGGAGGAAGGAAGGAAGGAAGATGGGAGGGAGGGAGAAGGATGGAAGGAAGGGAGGAAGATGAGAGGGACGGAAAGATGAAGATGGGGGAGGAAGAAAGGAAGATGGGATGGAGTGACGGAAAAAAGGAAGGGAGGAAGATGGGTGGGTGGGTGAGTGGGTGGGTGGGAGGGATGAAGAGGGAGGGGGAGGAAGAAAGGAAGATGGGATGGAGTGACAGAAGGAAGGAAGGAAGGAAGGGAAGGAAGATGGGAGGAAGAAAGGAAGATAGGAAGGAGGAAGGGGAGGAAGGAAGGAAGGAAAATGGGAGGGAGGGAGGAGGATGGAAGGAAGGGAGAAAAATGAGAGGGAGGGAAGGATGAAGATGGGAGGGGGAGGAAGAAAGGAAGATGGGATGGAGGATGGAACGGAAGGAAGAATGGAGGGAGGGAGGAAGAAAAGAAGGAAGGAAGATGGGAGGGAGGAAGGAAGATAGAAGGGGAAGAAGGAAGGAAGGAAGGAAGTAAGATGGGAGGGAAGGAGGAAAGAAGGTGGGAGGGAGAATGGATGACTGGAAGGAAGAAAAGAAGGAAGGGGAAGAAGGAAGACAGACAGGAAAAAAAGAAAAAAAGGAAAAGACAGTCAAAAGAAAGGAAGGAAGGAAGGAAAGAAAGAAAGAAGAAAGAGAAAGAAAGAAAGAAGAAAGAAAGAAAGAAAGAAAGAAAGAAAGAAAGAAAGAAGAAGAAAGAAAGAAAGATAATCAGAAGTACCCTTTTGGCTAATGGGAATAAGAGAACATAGAACGTAGAATAATAGCGTCCTAATATAGTAGGATATACAATATACTACTATTATACAATATATTAATATGCAGGATAAGAGAATGATGGGAATGTTCCCAGTGATGCCACAGATGTTAGCCATTCATCCCTGAGGATCTCCCGCTGCCTTCACAGGCCCCCTTCCCTTCCTTCCCTCCCCTTCTGTCGGTCCTTGCCAAATCTCACAGCTCCATAAATTATACGTTGGAATAACATCCTACTACCATGTTGTGCATGCATTAGCAGGTATGGGATTTATGTACCTTGCAAAGCATCCAGATCAAGCTAATTATATCGGCCTACGTGCCGGTCTCACCAATTCCTGCTGCAATTACCACCCCCCCACCCCTCCAGCGAAAAGCAGCGAGTGCGAATCACTCTCTTTCTTCCCCCTGCTCCCATCCGTTGGCAGGGTGGGGGAGCCCTTTTGCCCTCCTCTCCCCCCCCCAGGAGAGCTTTTGGACTTGCGGTTAAAAGCCGCAAACACAACGGATAGGTTGTCTAAACAGAGGCATAGAATCAACATCATGTTGATTCTAGATTCGAGGATCAAGGTCGACTCAGCCTTCCATCCTTTCTAAGGTGGGTAAAATGAGGACCCGGTTTGTGGGGCCATAAGCTGACTTTGTATAAAATATACAAAAAGTATGAAGGCTATTGCTTAACGCATTGTAAGCCGCCCTGAGTCTCCGGAGAAGGGCGGCATATAAAAATAAATAAGTAATAAATAATAAAAAAATAATCATGTGAAGGATTCATAAAGGGCCTTAAGTAAGGGCCACATCTGGAATATTTGCATCCGGTTTTTGCCCCCCCCCACCCGTTACAGAAAAGATGTTGACACCAGTAGTGAAATCCAAATTTTTTTACTACCGGTTCTGTGGCTTGGTGGGCATGGCAGGAGAAGGATACTGCAAAATCTCCATTCCCACCCGACTCCAAGGGAAGGATACTACAAAATCTCCATTCCCACCGGACTCCAAGGGAAAGATACTGCAAAATCTCCATTCCCACCCCACTCTGGGACCAGCCAGAGGTGGTATTTGCTGGTTCTCCAAACTGCTCAAAATTTCCGCTACCAGTTCTCCAGAACCTGTCAGAACCTGATGGATTTTACCACTGGTTGAGATTTTGGAAAAAAGTGCAGAGAAGAGCAACTGGGATGATTTTAAAGACCTGGAGATTAAAACACCCCACTCCAAGGAAAGGATACTGCAAAATCTCCATTTTGCAATATCCTTCCCCCAGGAGTGGGGAGGGAATGGAGATTTTGCAGTATTCTTCCCCTGCCATTCCCACCAAGCCACACCACGCCCACAGAACTGGTAGTAAAAAAAGTTGGATTTCACCACTGCTAAGGACCCTCACAATATTGCCACTTAAGTCCTTGTGTGTGAGGGAGAGGCAGGGAAGAAGGAAGGAAGGAAAAAAAGAAGGAGGAGGGAGGGAGGGTGGGAGAGAGAGGAAGGAAAGAAGGAAGAATGTAAGGAAAGAAAGGAGAAAGTGGGAGGGAGAGGGAAAGGGAGGAAGGAAGGAAAGAGAGGAGAAGGAGGGAGGGAAGGAAGGAAGGAGAGGGAGAGAGGAAGAAAGGAAGGCAGGAAGGCAGGAAGGAAGGAAAAAAGGAGGAGGAGGAAGTGAGAGAGAGGAAGGAAGGAAGAATGTAAGGAAAGAAAGGAGAAAGTGGAAGGAGAGGGAGGAAGGAAGGAAAGAAAGAGAGGAGAAGGAGGAGGGAAAGAGGGAGGAAGGAAGGAAAGAAGGAAGAAAGAAAGGAAAGAAGGAAGTAAGGAAAGGAAAGGAAGAAGAAAGTAAGGAAAGAAAGAAGAAAGAGGGAGGCAAAGGGAGGGAGGGAGGAAGAAAGAAAGGAAAGAAGGATGTAAGAAAAGAAAGGAGGAAAGTGGGAGGGAGAGGAAAGGAGGAAGGAAAGAAAGAGAGAAGAAGGAGGGAGGGAAGGAGAGGTAGGGAGGAAGGAAGGAAGAGTGGAAGGGAGTGGAAGAGAGAATGGAAAGGAAGGAGTGAGTGAGAAAGAGGGAAGAAGGAACGATAGGGCTGGAGAAGCAGGCGCAGCTCCCTCTGTGACTATCTAATGTGCTGGAATAGATGATTTCTGAGAAATAATTTTAAAAAATCAGGTAGGGAGCAAGCACGAGAACCTTCTCTGCAGAATCTCTGCCGGGATCCTCCTTGACTTTCCCTAGTCAAGGACCAATTATTTGGGGGTGGGTGAGGTGAGCTCGCCCCAAATCCTGGGTACTCAACTCTTCCTCGGACGCCGTACATGAAAAACAATCAGATTTGCCCCCTTGCCCTTCACAACGCACACAAAGAAAGGAAGTCGGAAAAACAGACGATTTTTTTTGACAGACCGTTCTTTTTTTTAATTGATGTTAGGCCGTCGCTGCTGCCTCCTGTTCCAAGTGGAAAAATGAAATATTTCCTTATCAGCATCTGCCCAAACCAGCTGACTCTTCCCCTTGCTTCCTTTACGGCTACCAACTAATTAAATAATTTGTATCACATAAATCATTTCCTTTCCCATTAACCTCCTATTAAAAGGAAATGTCATTTTTACCCCTTATTTGCAATGTCCCGGCCGCCTTTCAGTCCTACCTACCGTCGTTAACCGCCTCCAAATTCCAAGCATATATAATACCACGCGTTGACACGGTTTCTTAAAAAACATGACAGCGCTCGTAATTCCGACAATATATGCTTTTTTATTAGCAATGTCGTGGCATCTAAGGGCTATTTCCCTCCCCCGACAGCTGCCTTAGGAAGGGACATCCGCTGACTTGAGAGAAAAAAGAGAGAAAGAGAAAGAGAGAAAGGGAGGGAGGGAGGAAAGATTAAGAGAGAGAGAGAGGGAAGGGAAGGAAAAGAGAGGAAAAGAAAGGGAGAATGGGAGGGAGGATTAAGAGAGAGTGAAGGGAAGGGAAAAGGAAGATAGAATGGGAGGGAGGACTAAGAGAGGGAAGGAAAGGAAAGGGAAGGTAGAATGGGAGGGAGGGAGGAAGGATTAAGAGAGGGAAGGGAAGGTAGAATGGGAGGAAGGACTAACAGAGAGAGGGAAGGAAGGGAAAAGAAAGGAAAAGAAAGATAGAATGGGAGGAAGGATTAAGAGAGGGAAGGGAAGGGAAGGTAGAATGGGAGGAAGGATTAACAGAGAGAGGGAAGGAAGGGAAAAGAAAGGAAAAGGAAGATAGAATGGGAGGAAGGATTAAGAGAGGGAAGGGAAGGGAAGGTAAAATGGGAGGAAGGACTAACAGAGAGAGGGAAGGAAGGGAAAGAAAGGAAAAGAAAGATAGAATGGGAGGAAGGATTAAGAGAGGGAAGGAAGGGAAGGTAGAATGGGAGGAAGGACTAACAGAGAGAGGGAAGGAAGGGAAAAGAAAGGAAAAGAAAGATAGAATGGGAGGGAGGGAGGAAGGATTAAGAGATAGTGAAGGGAAGGGGAGGGAAGGAAAGGTAGAATGGAAGAAGGACTAAGAGAAGGTGAAGGGAAGGGAAGGGAAGGGAAGGAAAGAGGGTGGGAGGGAGGGAGGACTAAGAGAGGGAAGGAAGGGAAGGGAAAGTAAGGAAAGGAAAGGAAAGGAAAGGAAAGGAAAGGAAAGGAAAGGAAAGGAAAGATAGAATGGGAGGGAGGACTAAGAGAGGGAGGGGAAAGGAAGGGAGGGGAAGGGAAGGGAACGAAAGGAAAGGTTGAATGGGACAGAGGGAGGATTAAGAGAGAGTGAAGGGAAGGGAAGGAAAAATAGAATTGGAGCAAGGAAGGAAGGAAGGACTAATAGAAAGAGGAAAGGAAAAGGAAGGAAAAGAAACGGAAAAAGAAAAGGAAAGAAAGGAAAGATAGAATGGGAGGGAGGAAGGAAGGACTAAGAGAGAGGAAAGGAAAGGAAGTAACTGGATGGAGAACAGAGGGAAAGGAAAAGAAAACACAACGTAAAGTAAAATGCGAAGTAAAGAGTAAGTTTTTTAAAAATGTAAAGTTAAAAAGTAAAATGTAAGGTCAAAAACTCAAATAGAAAATCAAGTCAAGAAGCCCCATCTTCTCATGCCAGGATCTTTTGCCCTGCCAGTTGGTTTGAAGTCTTGCCTGGCGATCTACTTTCCTGATCAATACTCACTTTCCTGGAGAGACGTTTTCGAGAGAGCGGCAAAGAGGACCAAGCAGATCCAACCCGGCGCCATCTTCTTCTCCTTGCCCAGGGAAAAAGAAACAGGCGAGAGGTTGGAGAGGGAATTTGGTCCGTGAGAAACTGAGCTCGGAGGTGTCTGGAAGCTGACTTTGAAAAACCAGCAGCTCTGCAAATATGTAGCCTCCAGGGCTGGGTCTAAATTTATCCTGCAATGCGATTGGGGTGGAATCCAAACCACAAATATTTGGGGTGGGCTTTAGGGTGCGTAGAAGTCACCAAAGAGGCTCTTTCTTAACTCAATGACTTGGTCATCTAGGCAGTGGTCCCCAACCTTTTTATCGCCGCGGCCCGCTGAGCGCGCGCAGGGGTGGGGCCACGGCCAGGAGCCTTTGCGCAGGCCCATTGCGCACGGCCAGGAGCCTTTGCGCTGAAGCGTTCTGTCCCCCGGCCACTGCGCGGCCCGGTGCCAGGTACTCCACGGCCCGGCACCGGTCGCGGACCGGGGGTTGGGGACCACTGATCTAGGCCGTGGTTGTCCCAAAAGTCCTTGGGACTGGACTTCCTTTGTTTTTCCTTGAAGACGTTTCGCTTTCTCATCCGAGAAGCTTCTTCAGTTCTGACTGAACGGGGGTGTGTGTGTGTGTGAATGGAAGGATTGATCATCTTTTGCAGTCCCTGGTCGTTAGTGCTCTCTCTGAGAGTCACTGAGGCCACTCGGAGGTTTATCTACGCCAGGGGTCCTCAAACTTTTTAAACAGGGGGCCAATTCATGGTCCCTCAGACTGTGTGTGTGTGTGTGTGTGTGTGTGTGTGTGTGTGTGTGTGTGTGGCTGGACCTGCTGGGTGGGCGTAGCTAGGTGGTCATGTGACTGGGTGGGCATGACCAATTTAGCAGTCCATTAAACAATACGCACAAATTAAACTTTAACCTGTTATGTCCTGGGGGTGAAAAGCAGGTTAGGGAAGGGATGTGGCTGCCTGGGGTGGGGTGGGGTGAGGGACTTCTCTTTGTGTGTGTGTCTCTCTCCCTCCCTCTCCCTCCCTCCCTCTCTCTCTGGAGGCTGGGGAAGCCAAAAACGGGGCCATTTTTGGCCTCTTGGGGTCTCCGCGTGTCCCGTTTTTGGCCTCAGCCATCAGAAGGCAGGTGGGGGCCGGCGGGTAGGTGGGGCGATGTGAGTGGGGAAGCCTCGTGGTCCCGTGCGGGTCAGATTAATGGCTTCGGTGGGCTATATCCGGCCTGCAGGCCATACTTTGAGGACCCCTGATCTACACCCTCAGGGTCACCTGAGTAGTGCAAGGGTGTGAAAACCTTCTTAGAACCACTGGAAGGATTGTGTTTTTAATGTCTTAAGAGCATTTTTAAAAAACTCCTTCCTCTGTAAATTAGGGGACCGAGTTCGAGGAGGTGAAAAATCTTCACAAAATGGCTGCCGGTTTATTCTTCCGATTTTCAGTTCGGAAAACTCTTCCTGAAGTGGAAGAGATGGCTAGCCCTCGACTTACGACCGACTTGAAGAAGGCGAATTACATCCCAGATCTGGACGTTCGGACAATTGTACTCTAAATCGCATGACTGCTCAGTGACACACAATCACATTTTAGGGCTGTTTGCAGCGTTCTGTGATCACTTGATCGCATTTTTGCCAAAAAAAAACCCCGGGCACTTATTTCTGGTTTGAGGCAAAATCGAACCAGGCCGAACAATGGTCTCACTTAATATTTGTAAAAAAAAAAGAGTCACAAAATTAGGTTGGTCACGTGAACAAATCCATTTTGTGACCATTACGACTTATGACAGTAATGGGCAGGCTCTGTTACTGTCATAACTTGAGGACTACGTGGAATCTAACACAGATAAATAATTGCTTCTTAACGCCATTTGGGCTAGTTTTCATTTCTCTTATATGGGAGGGGGGTTAGGCTCAGCGGTGGGTTCTACTTACCTTTACTATCGGTTCGCAACGGGATTGCGCAGATCGCCGATGACGACATTCGGGGTGGTGGGTGGGGCCTAGTGGTAGGTTTCAAATTTTTTTTACTACTGGTTCTGTGGGTGTGGCTTGGTGGGTGTGACATGGCTTGGTGGGCGTGGCTTGGTGGGCATGACAGGGGAAGGATACTGTAAAATCTCCATTCCCACCCCACTCCGGGGGAAGATTACTGCAAAATCCCCATTTCCTCCCCAATCAGCTGGGACTCGGGAGGCCGAGAATAGATGTGGGCAGGGCCAGTCAGAATTTTTTACTACCAGTTCTCCGAACTACTCAAAATTTCCGCTACCGGTTCTCCAGAACCTGCTGAAACCCAACTCTGGTGGGGTCTCCCACCGTTTTACTATCAGTTCTTGCGAACCGGTCCAAACCGGGAGCAACCCACCACTGGTTAGGATCCTACTGCATTTTCAGGCTATTTGTTGCTCAATTAATCTCTAGAATTTACGTCCATAACTCTGAGTATTAAAAAAAGAGAAAGAGGGAGTGCTAATATACAATTTGCCACTAGTTGGAGACAAAGAGTCTCATTTTTCCCCTTCCTATCTCTTCTTCCTGCCCTCTAGTGGCTCTTTAGATCTTTGCAACCCAGATCTGGAAATCTTCTCCAGGACTATGGACGGCTGATTTGGGCCGGATCGATAGGTCCTTAAATTGTCTTTTGATGGATTTGTTTCCTTCCCAAGGAACAAAATCAGGGCTTTGTATGTTGATTCTGGCAAAGTGTTAAGAGTCAGGCGCTTCACAGCTGAAGCCGCCTGTCAGGTGCTCCTCTTTTTATGAAATTGGATGACTCAACAACATGTTGTTCCCGAAAAAGTCAGCTATTTGGATTCTGCCTTGGGGCGGAATGAATGTTGATCTTGTTTTGGGGTCAAGGGGTAAAATGTATCTCAGCTGGGTTGAAGTCCCGCTGAACAGGTAGCTTTGTTGTTCTCCAAACCGGCTGAACGGTCCATCTGGAATAACACAGGCACCATTTGCGTTCAACCAACGAGCGATGCGGAAAACGATAAACCGTATTGTTTCGTAACATGGTGCCCTCTGTCAAGGCAACGTATTGCTGGAACTTGGCTATAGTCTTAGAAAATTGTCATGGAGATTAGCCTTAACTTGCAAAGTTTGACAAGACTTCCTTCCTTCCTTTTTCCTTCCTTCCTTCCTTCCTTCCTTCCTTCCTTCCTTCCTTCCTTCCTTCCTTCCTTCTCCCTCCCTCCCTCCCTTCCCATTTTTCCTTCCTTCCTCCCTCCTTCCCTCTCTCTCTCCCTCCCTTCCCGTTTTTCTTTCCTTCCTCCCTCCCTCCCTCCCTTCCTTCCTTCCCTCCCTCCCTTCTCACATAATTTCCCTTCCCTTCATCCCTCCCTTTCTCCCTCCCTCCCTTCCTCCCTCTCTTCCTCCTCCTCCCTCCCCTTCCCCCTCCCCCTCCTCCCCCTTTGCCTTCTTCCCTCCCTCCACCTCCCCTTTCTTTCTTTCTTTCTTTCTTTCTTTCTTTCCTTCCTTCCTTCCTTCCTTCCTTCCTTCCCTCCTTCCTTCCTCCTCCTCCTGTTTGCCTTCCTTCCCTCCCTCCCACCTCCCCTTTCTTTCTTTCTTTCTTCTTTCTTTCTTTTCTTTCTTTCTTTCTTTCTCTTCCTTCCTTCCTTCCACCTCCTTCTCTCTCCTCCTCCTCCTGTTCTCCTTCCTTCCTTTTCCCTCCCTCCCTCCCTCCTTCCTTCCCTCCCTGCCTTCTCACTCAGTTTCCCTTCCTGTCTTCCCTTCCCTTCCCCTCCCCTCCTTTCCCCTCTTCCCGTCCCCTCTAATTCCCTTCCCTTTTGTCATTTTCTTAAATAAGAAATGAGGGTGTGTGTGACAGAATGGGGGTGGGGGATTCACTTTCCTTGCCTCTCTCGACAAGCCGAGATCCATGCCATGTCACCCGACCCAGCCAGGGGACAATTACAGACCACAGATGAGCATGTCACGAAGCCCTGCCTCGTTTAATAACTTGACAACTGCCCAGTCAGCTGTGAAAGAGCAAATGGGGGTGAGACGTTCCTGTTTTAAAATAATGATGATGATGATGATGATGAAGATGAAGAAGAAGAAGAAGAAGAAGAAGAAGAAGAAGAAGAAGAAGAAGAAGAAGAAGAAGAAGAAGAAGAAGAAGAAGAAGAAAGAAGAGGAGGAGGAGGAGGAGGAGGAGGAGGAGAGGAGGAGGAGAAGGAGGAGGAGGAGAGAGGAGGAGAGGAGGAGGAGGAGGAGGAGGAGGAGGAGGAAGAAGATGATGGGAAGCCATTCCACTGATTAATTGTCCTCACTGTTAGGAAGTTTCTCCTCAGTTCCAAATTGCTTCTCTCTTGGATTAGTTTCCATCCATTGCTTCTTGTCCTGCCTTCAGGTGCTTTGAGCAAACATATCAGATGATAGACAGATGGATGGACGAATAGATAGAGACGAGAGATCACGTGATCAAAACTCACTTAACAACTGTCTCTCTTAGCAACAGATACCTTGTGGCTCCGTTGCGGTTGTGAGCCGAGGACTTACCTGTGTTACAATATAGCCTATCTCCGTCAACGTTATTTTAGCTTTCCCGCAGAGTTGATTTCCTACCTCGTGGAAGTGACAACCCCCCGTTTTAACAGCATGGATTTCTGTCTGCCTCTTCGCCTGGCTGCCTTGCTAATTTGTCATGTTTCCATTGCCTGCTTTCAATGCCGTTGGACAATAATCACTTAGAGATGTGCAAGCTTTGATGCGGGGAGAGGGGGGGAGGGGGGTTTGATTGGAGTCGAAGGTAATGCAAATCAAATCAGCTCGTCAAAGTGATATATTTTCTGCCCTGAATTGGAGCAGAGTTGGAGATCCATTTTGGCCCAATTTCTAATCCCTTCGTGCGGGAAAACGGCGAGTCCAACCAGAGTCCAGCACGTGAAGGCCGTTTTTGATTTCTCTGGACACATAGAACATAGTTATGGGAGCAGCATGGCGCTCCCATGTGGCTCCCTCCTGCGCGAGCTGCACTGGCTCCCTGTGGTCTTCCGGTGCGCTTCAAGGTCTTAGTTACCACCTTTAGAGCGCTCCATGGCTTAGGACCGGGTACTTACGAGACCGCCTTCTGCCACCAATAGCCTCTCACCGCCCAGTACCTCCCATAGAGAGGGG